GCGCGCGAACAGCAGCCGACTGCTGCTGTGGATCTGGCCCTGCTGGCGCTGGCCCCCCGCACGCGAGCGCTCCTTCCATTGCAAACCTCGGCGCCTCGGGGGTAGCATTGAGTCTTCGCGCTCTCGCAGCCTCCAGGTCCGGGGCTTCCCTGCAGAACCTGCGTGTCCTTCTCCAGGACCTTTCTCGCTCGCGGCCCCGCGGGCTGTGCCGCTGGGACGGCGGCGGGTCGCGGCCAGCTTGCCCCCGTCAAACAGGTGGTCCGCGCCAGCCCGGCCCGGCCCGGCCCTACCCGCGGTGGCCGCCCGGACTTCACTCCCTCTCACTCCTACAGGCCGCTCCTTTCGGCTCCGCTATGCACTACACTTCTAATTACGTACCGTAGTTCGGCGCGGCCACCTGGCCCCGGGCGAGCGAGCCGGCGGGCCGGGCCGTCCCGAAAAGGAGGAGGAGGACCGCGTCCCGCGGGTCGGACGCCGCGCGCGCTCCTTGTACGAACAACGAACATGACCGTCCAGCAGCGCTGGCCAGCCGGCGGCGTAGGCGCGGCCCCCGGCTACGCCACCGGGCGGCCAGCAGCTTGGCCACGCGCCGCCGCGCCCGCGCAACGCGCCGCCTCCGCTGCACCCTCAGGACGCTAGCCGAGGAGGGAGGGGGGTGACTTCCGGCGGGGCCGCATGTCGCGCCGGCACGCCGCCGTCGGCAGGCTTGCCTCGTTATGCCTGGCTGCGTCGTGGTCCGGGTATAAAAAGGCAGCGCACGTGGGCCCGGCACCACCCCGGCCAGGCGCAACCAACCAGACCCGCACCGAATCACAGCAACCGCAAGAAACAACCGCGGCGTCCCGTCGAGTCTAACATGACATCGGCGGGGCATATCGGAGGGGGGCGGCGAGGCAGCGCCACCGCTGCTGGAGTTGGGCGGCTCGCGGTCCCGCCCAGTCTCGTCCTCGCCCCACCAGGTCGATCTATAACGACCGCGAAGAATCCACAATCTGACCCAAAAGTCTACTTTTTCGACGCGGCGTGCTCCTATTATCGTTATGCCGTTGCCGCCTCCGACTCCCGTCCTGCCCATACATCTGCCGTCTTGCCCCTCCTCCCCTCCCCTCCCTTTCAAAATCCCTAATTGACGTATAGCTCGGCTGGCGCGTGACAGCGGCCTCCTGCTCACGCTCGGCTGGCGTCGTCGGGACGAAGACGCACGACGGCACCAAAAAGGGTTTAAATAAAAAGAGCCGAGTGGTCTTGCTGCTCGAGCGCCGACGCATGCAAGCGCCCGGTGTCGACAGGGGATCACGGCGGAGTTTCCACGCACATCGGCCATCGCATAGCCCCCCGTCAACCTTATTCTCCCGCCCGCGAGGATCGAGGTAAACTGTGCGCTCTTTATTTTTCTCGAACAGGGCAGAATTTCGAGCTCGAGCGACGACCATACCTTCCTGATTCCACGACCGACAAATCCTACCGCGTCTCTGTCGCCCGGTGATAGCAAGCGGGTCGGGTCTCAACAAAATGCCGCATTCTGCCCGCGGATATTTTACATACTTGTGCGAGGTGTTTAATTGTCGCCAGAGCTCCGCCCCGCCCCGCCCCACCCCACCCCGCCATCGCCGTGCCTCGCCCGCCACCAAAAGTTCATTCCTGAAATCCCTCAGTCTATCGCGGCGGTAATTAATGCCCCTCTCTGGAAGAGGCGGAGGAGCCGGGGAGTGGGAAGCGTCTCTCGGCCGGACCTGACCTGACCGTGTGAATCAGCGAATCAAAGCCGAGGTGGCCATCTCGTCGGGCGGGGCGTGGCGGGGCGGGGACGCCGCCAAACGCACTGGGGCCGACTGGGGCCGACTGGGGCCGACTTGGAACGCCCGGAATGGCATGGGCTCTCCACAGCGCCGCGGCGCGCGGACGCTTAGCGCCCCGGCTCGTCGCGCCAAGTGGCTTCCCAGACCGGCCAGGGCGACACGGGGAGAAATGCTCGGGAGCCGAGAAGTCCATGGGGCTGCGACATGTCCATGCGTCCACCTCGGGCACCTCTTTAGTCTCAGGGGACGGTCGGCGCCGAGCGAGGAGACCGTCGTGTTCGTGGGAACCCCGCGCGGCCGCCGCCGAGCCCCGGCACCCCTGACTCCTCATGATGTGCTGGTTCATGAAGAGGGGCGTGAAAAGTCTGCTCAGCGGGGCTCTCTGCCTCGCCCCGCTCCGCACAGCGCGCCGCGATTGACGGCGTTGGCGAGGCCTTTTTGACAGGTGAGCAGCGCGCGGAGCGGAGCCTGGGCCCTGGGAAGACGCCGGGGCGTGGCGGCGCGGAGCAGCTCGGCGGGCCCAGCGTGGGAACGGGACGGGAGGCTGGGGAGCCGAGGCTCCGGCTGCGGGGCGGGCGGCATGGGCCGGCGCGGGACCACGGGACGGGACCACGGGACACGGCCCCACCGCGCCGCGGGGACCGCGGACCTATCAGCTGCTGGCCAAGTCAAACACAGGGCCCAGGGTACCGGCCGACCGGGCCGGGCCGCGGGAGGGTCACCATCCCGACCGTGTGATGCAGAGCTATGCGGCTCGACGGCGCAAGAGGCGTGGGCAGGAGGGACGGGGCCAGGCCGGCGGACCGGGGCGGACCTCGATGACAACCTGGAAGTGATCTATCAAGGGCCGCCTCATCCATTTGGACGCCGCGCGATCCGGCTCCGCCGGCACATGACTCACGACTCGGACGCAACCCGACCGCCCCATAGGTCTCCGACCGACCGTCTCCGACAGTCCGAGGGACACGAGAGGTTGGGATCCAGTGGTGTTTGGGGTTCAGGGTCGCCTTCTTGGCCTGCTGCTGGGTGCGGCCCGCTGGCGATAGCGTATCGGTCTACTTGCAAGCTTGCAAGGGGAGGGTCAGGTTGTCGCACACGCAGAGTGCCGTGGCGTGACTCGCTTCCGGAACTTGATCACCGGAGCAGCGAGCGGCGTGACATGCAGGCGAGGCCGTCGGCGGCGCCGTCGCCGTCGGCAGCGCCTGGCGCCTGGCTTTGGCAGGCCGGGGACTAGGGCGGGGCGGGGTGCCTGATGGGACGAGATGCTCTCCCGATGGGCAAGGAAAAACTTTCACGTTTCCGATAGCAAGCCAACGAGGCCAGGCAGGCAGGCCAAGCCCAGCCCCCAACTCGGGACCAGAGCAGGACGTCGAGTTTTGCAGGTGCGTGGCGCGTCGCGGCCACCAACTAGAGCAGCGGGAGGGCGGGTCTCAGCGCGGCGAGGAGGTCGCGAGTGCAGCCTCGGAGGCTCGCGGCGTCGCGCCGCGGAGCCCGCGAAGCCCGCGGAGCGCGCAGATTCTCCCCCCCCCCCTCTCTCCCCCACTACCACAACGAGGCGCGGCGCGGCGCGGTGTACTGCGGCTGCGACACCAGAGGGAGCGCAACAGCGGCGCGCGGCAAAGAGGCAGGCGCCTCTCTCCCTCTCCACCCCTCTCTCTCTCCGAGGCCCGGGCCGCACGTATTACTCTTCTCTCGCACCTTATTGTCCATCTCGTACGATGCGCGCGTTATTACATCAAATCGATGAGCGATAAAACAGCGACAGGACGTACTGATCGACAACGCGCACGCACACACGCGCACGCACACACGCGCACGGACGCACGCACACGGAGCACTACGCCCCGGCGCGCCGCGGCTCTCGCTGGGGTCCGGTCCAGCCGAGGAGGGTCCAGCGCTGCTAAGCCTCCCAAGCCGGTCCCGGGTCGTTATACGAGAAGTTAATTTCCGTGTGAACTCCGGGGCCGGCGCGGCGGAGCTGCGATCCTCTCCTCCAGTCGGTCGTGCCCCCCCCCCTCCCCCCGTCTTTATCTCTCTCTCCTTTACACTCTGCCATTCCCACTCCTCGCGCCCTGACAATTATTATAGTTGTCGAGTTGGCCACTTCAGAAGCACGCGA